CCCCAAAACCCCAAAACCCCAAAACCCCAAAACCCCAGATCATATAAAAAAATTTGATACAAATATACCTAAAATTCGAATAAGTATAAGTTTCATTGTGAGAGAAATAACGGATTTCAACTGAAAGATAAGAATATCTTTGTGATCAAATATAAGAGCCAGGTAAAAATGGAAGATAATGATCAGTCTGTTAAGGTTCAAAATTTAGTAATGATATTTATTTTTCCATCATCCCCAGGATTAACAAAAATAGAGATGCTGAAGAAGTCTATCTTTAAGTTCTCTCACTTATCTGCCCATAGAACTACAGATGAGGAAGAAGAAAAGTAAATAATGATAATTCACAGATGAAAGTTAGACCTTTATTCCCTGGGCTTAACTTGACACTGAGAGATGTGATATAAATAATGTTCATTTTATTTTAGCTTAAATCTGATATTCTTTCTAGGGTTAAGAATTCGGTTTTTTCTTTAAAGAATAGACGAATAGTAAATTTGTCATTCCAATTTAATATAGCACATAACCCTTTCTTTCCTAATCTATAAAATATATAAAACACCCTAGAACCTTAAATTTCCATTTTCCTTCTAATTTTATCAGGCTGAAAGTGACATTAACTCTTTCTTCTCTGTCCTTTTTCTACCTCACTCTCGATAACCCTAATCCTATCAAGGACTTCCATCTACTTGCCTTTAAGTTCCTCAACCCTACAATTATTCATCAGCGAAGCAATTTCGCAGCCCAATAAGTCTCCTAATGCTATAAATTGCTAAAACCCCTAAGTTGCAAGGTGCCCAAATCCAGTCACTTGCCTTAATTTTCCAGTGAAATTTTAAGATTTTGTTCATGGTTCTGATTTCACTCAATTTTTCTTTCCTAGTCAGCGATCTAATTTTATTCTATGGTAAGACATAGTTGTGAGGTAGTGGTCTCAGCCTGGTTTTAGGTGGCAGAGATTAGATCTTTGGGATTTTAAGCAGCTTATTAGGTGAAATATGGATGCTTGATGGCACAGAATAGGGGCATTGGAGGTACTCACAGCAGAGACAGGGAGGATATTTATAGCCTTCAAAGGTTAATTAGTAACAAGATCAAACTGGATAAGCCAAGTTGTAAACTTGCTTTATGATTTTTATTTTAGATTGATGAAGAAAGACTTACTGTGCAGATTGAGCTCATAAGTACTACATAAGGTGCTAATATTAAGCATAGTAGCCAGAAAGCTCTGGAACTTTTGAATATCCAAAAGTTAGCTATGCAATGATATTGTTGAGGACCTCCTTAGTCAGCCTATGAAGAATTATCAGAGCATTTATGTTCTTAGTTTTGGATGGAGTTGCGAAGTAGAGGACAATTGGGAGAGGTTGCTATGAGAACTAAGTGAATCAGGAGGGCTCTATTTTATCAGATATTTTTATTTTCGATAAATCTTATTATTAGAGGGGTTTTGGGGTTTTGGGGTTTTGGGGTTTTGGGGTTTTGGGG